TAATCCATTGAATTGTTAGAAAAAAAAAAAGAAGAATTGGAAGACAAAGAAAATACTAAAAAAGGGAGATCGATGGTTGGGCCCAACGACGGGTGGAAAGGAGAACGGACGACAATGAGGTGACGAGGAGGAGCAATGTCGTTGGGTGCAAGGGGTTTGAATGATGTCGGGTTTGGGAACACGAAATCTACCTTTAAGTTTTCTCTACTTTAAACTATTTCTAGCTGATTACAAACTCCATATTAAAAGGACGTAGGTAATCAATTTTCAAAAGTTGAACAATTTATTTATAAAAAAATGTTCAAAGACTTAGGGACTGTTTACTTAAATACTTACCCGGTAAACATTTATCGATAAATTCAACATTATCACTTACTTATCAGTAAGATTTTGAAATCCAAAATAACTGTAAGGGGTTGTTTACCTAAATACTTTCCCGGTAAGCGCTTACCAATAGAAGTGAACACTATAATTTATTTTCTAGATAAGATTGTAGTATATCAAAATGGTATCGTGTGCAACAATATATATGGGAAGTGATTACCCAAATAAGAGTCGTCACCCTCACTTACCGGGTAATACTCTCTATCCTCATCATCACTCTTACCAAATAAGATTTTTGGGTCTTGTCATATTCGTCCGATGAGGAAAATTATCCGATAAACACTTACCGAATAAACGTTTAGTAAACGACCCATAACTATTTACTTATTAAAAGATTTGAATGGCTAATGAGAAGTTTCAATGTGAGATTTTTTAAACTTATCCCATAGAAAAAATGGATTTATCCTAATAAAAAAGTAGAAGTGGAAAGGGGTTGATATCCCCACCCCTTACGATCACTTATTCACCCCCTCCCTCTCACATTCAATCCTTTTCACATTCAACCCCTCTCACATTCGATCAATTTGTTTAATATTATAATTTTAAATTACACTTCATACCCCCTATAATTATTTAATTAATTTATTTTATATCTTTTACTTTTAAATTTTTCATTTTGCACCTTTATTAAATTAACATACATAATCATATATCAACTAAAACATGTTTAAAAAATACCTTTTTATTTTAACAAGTTACACCATTATAATCGTCTCGTTAATACCTTCGAAATGAGTCCAATATTGAATAGTTTTTGAGTTAATTATATTATTATATATTATATACACTGTGAAAAAAATCGTCAATCTCTTCGAAATAAACCCAATAATGAATATTATTTGATTTAATTATATATTATTATAATCGTATTTTAATTAAAATCCGTTAAAAATATGTTTTTATTTTAATAAGTTACATCATCGTAATCGTCTCATCAATAACTTCAAAATGAACCCAATATTAAACATCGTTTTATTTAATTATGGAACTGTAATTATATAAATATCATAAGGGTATAAAATAAAAATAAAGAAGTAAATAAATATAATAAATTTTTATAAAGATATAAAGTATAAATATTGAGAAAAATTCATATACAAATATATAATTTAAAAATTACATATTTTTAATATTTTATTAATTAATAATAATATAAAGTTAATTAATTTATATAATTATTAAAAAATATGTATTTTTATTACTTAATTAATTAATAATAATATTAATTAATTAATATATGTAATTATAATATAGATAAAAAAACTTGGAGGATATAATAGAAAAATATTTAAAAARTTGAAGGRTKAAAACTAAAAATATTAAAGGATTAAAATTGAAAAATAAAATAAATAAATTCATATAGGTGGGGTATAAAAAGAATAGGGGGAAGAAATAGGAAGGGTGGCGTTAGAATACCCCAAGTGGAAACTATAATCCATGAAAAAGATGTCAAAATCAGTAGAATATTGTATAATATCTTCATTTGACAATTTTAGACTTTTCAAAAATATTATATATATATATATATATATAATACAAATAAAAAGAGTTGTGCCTAACATTTATTATAAATATAAATAAAACAAAATAAACACCAAAATGATGTGGAAACCATGTGTGGGTGTCATCAAAATAGGTACATTTCTAGAACTGCTCATATGGCCTCATCCTAACACCATTCTTTACTATCAAATACTTTTAGTTTTATTTTTAAATAAAATTAAATAATTTTTGAAAAATGTAAATATATATACATATATATTAAAAAACCTGGATATCTTAACTCGTTTGACTAATTTCAGAATGACCACCTGCTTTGTGGATAGCCTGAAGTCATAGCATTTGAACCTCCGTGACCACAAGAAGATTTTTATTCCTCCTTAGATTCGAATCTGGGACATCCAAGCTGTTTTGACCTTGTGTAACTTTTAAACTATTCTCACATGTTTTCTTAAAGTATATGTTATTTACATACCTTAATCGTAACGGACTGTTTGTTTACCTCTTAATGGTGCTATTAAGAGGTAAATATCTGAATCGGTCACACTTTACTTCTGTTTTTGGTATACTACTCTGACGTTCTGAATGGTTCAAACTCCATCTGAATTGCTCATTTATCAAACTCTAACCATATCACTAAGTCGTGTCTCATTTCCTCAATTGCTCTCTAGTTTGGAACATTCCGTGATAGAAAAAATCTCATCCATCATCTCTCTCTCCCTTTCTCTCAATACGTAAAATTAAGACTTCACAATTGTTCGTTTATCGATTCCTTCGAACATATATATCAAATCCATATTCGAACGATACCCAATCAGTCTTTCTTTTGCTTCCTACTCTAATCTCAATATGAGGTGAAGCGAGTCATTGCTTTGAACTCGATGAACGTTTTGAAAAAATTGCTCTGTTTTTGTGGACGTAGCATATATGGCTTATGTTTGTTTTTATGAACCACCGTTACCCAAATCATTTTAGGATACAAATAGCTGTTAAAATTTGGATTTGTAAATAAAAGTCGATACTATTACATATCAAACTCGTGTGGATTTTTTTGGTTGATGTTATTTGAATTTCTTCAATCTGTTTCCTAGAGTTTTCTTAATGTCAAAATATTGACTTATTAAAACAATCGTGTTTCATTCATCGTTAAATCACATAAAGGGTTGAAAATGGTGATTTTATGTTATTCAGACTGTCTATTTAAAACAATTGCCAAACAATCATTTTTCATTTAGCACTAAATCATATAAAGTTTATTAATCATTCTGATCAGTTGATTATTCTGCACCAAATCATTCAGTATCTAGTAAACAACCCCTAAATACGCAACAAATAAACTCACACTCGTTTCATTATTGATGATCCACTAATCCCTAATCTTCATAAACACCAAAATAGCATTAGGACAAAGACTTTTTGACAAGTATGTTGAAATTGTTCTTTCTGGTTTTCCTAAAAATAATTTAAACACATAATTTTTTATATATATTTTAAGAAAATTAATTAAAATAGTTATTTCAGTTGAGTGGTTTTACCTCCCAGCTATTTCTCTCCAAAGTTTACCAAAATAACTCTAGGTCTGCAAAAAGCTATGCAAACCTAGCTAAACAACAAAAGAAATTACACTTTCTACCATTGTCCGTAAAAAATTACATTTTTCACCCCAGGTCCACAAAAAATTTACATTTCACACACAAATCCGCAATATTTTCTTTACATTTTTCACTCAGATCGGCAAAAAAAATTAAAGTAACAGACCTAAAGAATATTTTAATAGATCTTATAAAAAATGACTAAGAGATAAAACCACCGTACTGAAATTACTATATAATTAATTTCCCCTAATTTTACTATATTGGCAAATGACATATCCATGGAGGTGCTTCTTGTTTTTGGGCACAATCATTGCTTGTTTATTATTATTTTTTTATAATATTTAGATGTTACAGGTATGGTATTTTTATAAAAATAAAGATTTGATATCGAGTTAGATATAATTATTGATATTGACATTAAATCCGAATATTATCTGATCATAAATTCAAATCCAAAATCATTATCATCCGTCATCACCTATCAATTGATTGATCTTACTAATATACAGGAAACTATCACGTCTTTTTAATTTTGGCTGTCTGGAACAAATGTAACGTTCTTTTTTAATAACATCATGACTTTATTTCATATATTTCTTGTTATTACTTATTTTTAAACAATACAAGATTTTAATAAATATATTTTCCAACTATATATTAAATCAAAGGGTAAAATGCACAAAATAATAATTTACTTTCAATTTTTTTTATTGTAGCATTGTACTTCCAGTTTTTCTTATTACAGCAATGTACTTTCAAACTATTTTTTATTAGGACATTGTACTTTGAAAAATTTACCCATTATAGCATTGGGTAACTTTTTTTCTAAAATTTACCCATTACCCATTATAAGTTGTCCACATGTACTATAGTGATGCGACTTTCTTATGAGATAATGTGTCCACGTAAGTTGTCCACATGTACTATAGTGATCAGACCTAATATATAAATTTAAAAACATAAGAGGTGTCATGTTTCTATTTCAATACAACACATGTAGGAAAACCGTATCTTACATAAACAGATTCTTGTACATGTCTTATCTTATCCATCAATTATTTCTTTCAGTAATCAATAGTTTGGAGTTTTAGATAATCATATATTTATATTTTTTTCAACATATTTATAACGATATATTTGTAATTGTGCTCGTATTTATGTGTTTGTATGAGTAAAAGAGAAAAATAAACACGGATTTTGCATCCTTTATTCAAAATGACACAATTGTGGGATTTCATTAAAACATAGAAAAAAACGGTAGATACGTCTTTTAAAAGATTTATACTCTGATTGTAACGTCATTTCTCAATAAAGTAATCGAGTTATTTTTCTCTAAAACGTAAAAACAACAAATGCATCTTCAAAACAACATGAACTTGTTATCTAAAGGTTGCTTTTTGACGATCTTTAAAAAACCAATAGATGCATCTTTAAAAACACTTGAACTCATAATTTAAACGTCATTTCTTGATAACGCAATTACTTTAACATTAACCCGTCTTTTCCTTAATTTTTCCAAAGTTAACACGAAAGATGATTAAACATATACGTCAGGGAAAACCGTTTTCACATACTCAGACATCTATATATACAAAATCCCATAACTCCAGAAGTTTCAAAACACCTAGTTTGACACTAAGGCAATAAAGGGCAAAAAGGGAACTAATTTTTGGCCTAACATCCTCTCCCTGATCCTCTCTTAATGCCAAAAAAGAAACCGAAAAGGCGGAAAGAAAAGATAACCCAAAGACTTTCCACAAGTCGAAAACACCTCTCTTGCGTGTGGGTTTCACGCGAATCTTCCAAAAACGTCATATTTACTTGATCTATCAACCATACCGATACCCCATAAAGTAGTTAAAATCATGATGTTGTACATTTAACTGTTTTAGCCAGCAACCAGCCACGTTCAAAAGCGAAACAAGCTTTTCTTGGTCCTTGCCGCTCTTACCGGATATCCACACATCCCCTTGCATCTTGTAAGTCGCAAGTCCAAACGGAGGGAGTCGGATTCCTTCTTCCCCTTTGTCGTTCTTCTTCACCGAGAACCCATTCTGATCTTCGTTATCTGTATCTGGATCGATCCACACATACTACATAAGCTTTGATACAAAGATACTCTCCAAATACAACACAAATACAACACAAATACCTTGAAATGATGATGAAAGGGTGTGGTAGGTGAGAAAACATGTGGACAAGTCCTTTATGGTCCTTCCCAATGGAATGTGATATATTGGGTACCTGAATGTCACAAGGGCAAAAATGTCATTCAGACATGACACAATGATAACCTTGTTGTGATTTCATGTGCTTAATATGCACAAGAAATAATGTGTAATCATATCCGGTAAACAAGATGACATGATGTCTCATTAGCCAAGAGATATACCATGCAACTGCCATCCAACTAGCCGGCGAGAGATCAACACTTCTTAACGACATTAAGCCAGGGTGCTTTTGAGATAACATACAGATCTGTATGAAAAGAAAAGAGAAAGAAAAGGTGAAGGGCTTGAAAGGCACTTTAGTATATTACAGGGGTCATTTGTGAAAATCCAAAAGATAAACCACAATAATTGAGTGAAAACAAAACTGTGTCCGCATTGTGTGTCGTGTTAAGGTTAGCTTGCGTTTGTGTACAAGGGTCGAAAACCATTCTTACAAGTCTTGTAATCGAAAAAAATCGTAGAATCTACTTTTGGAAGGACCGTAATTTGCAGAATTATTCGAACGGAATGAAAATGGTACCTTGTCCATGAGAGGAACTCTCTCGTAAGGCGTTGATCGTTCAAAGTATTGAAAGTAAAGGTAACCCAATCGATCGTTGAAATGCAAAGGAGTCTCACGATCAAACACGCCTTCTTCTGATGAACATCCATCCCACCTCGACAACTTCTCACTCTCGCTCTCGTCACTAAACGAGTCGCTGAATGAATCCCTTGTTTCTGAATCCGTCTCTTCCCTGAACAAAAAAACACTTCGATCAGTTTTAATCCCTCCGTCCAATGCCATTGAGATTGTTTACCAGGGCCCATAGGAGTGTTTGAGATTGCTTATAAAAACAACTTATTGACTTGTTCTGATGTAACACCGGTAAAAAACACTTTCGAGTGTTTGAATAAATCACTTATGTTGATATCAAACTGGTAATAAAGAGTTTTTGAAGAAGTAAAAATCATCCCTTATAAAATCAAAGTGATAAATAATGTTTTTTATTAAATAAAATTTAATGTTTTAATTGAGGGGATAAAGTTGATAACTAAAAAGGAATATGCCCTCCACTTTTCCAACCACATCATGACATTATCCATAAAAATTAAAGTAAATGAAAAAGAAAAAGGAAATTTACATTAATGGTCCTAGACTATATTTTATTTTTCACTTTTAATCCCTTGACTTAATAATTTTACGTTTAGCACCCCCGAAATTATTTTTTCTTCACCAATATTCTTTTATCAGTTGAACCATTTTCCATAATTCCAACAAATTCAATATTATTTTATCTTTCGAGACTTTTTGAGTATAAAAATCAAAATCTCCACCAAATTTGCGTAAAATATTAATTTTATAAAATATTTATATAAAACTAATATAACATCATAACAAAAAATGAATTAAAAATGAAATTTAAAATACATAAATCGAAAATTTAATGATTTAAACATTCTTGGTTGTTAGGTATACGTCAAAGAGACGTTTTCCATAAACCACGAATTGTGAGAGACCAAAATGTCGATATCATAGTTATTTAATAAATGAAATAAATAATAATAATTAATAATAATAATAATAACAATTAATAATAATAATAATAAAATTTGATATATTTACATACCTTAAATAGTTCAAGGATGAATTGCTGGTAAAGATTTGAATGGCAGATAAGTAAGGAACAAAATACTGGATGATTGTTTCATCTTCTCCGGCGTCGACGTTAATCGGAACTCCGGCGCCGTAAGCACTCCATTCATCAAAACTGTTCCAAAGATCACCCAACGTGAAGAACTCAACTTTCTCCCTCTCCCATGGATGCCATAGCCTATTAAGCTTTGAAACCTCACTCTGCACCCAAATACACCGAAATTTTCAGTAATCAAACACAAACAGACAGCAAAACTAACATCTGGGTTTTCCTAAAATCGATGTTGATTCATATAACATCATAAAAAAAACATTTGGGGGTTTTCATGAATCGATGAAAATTTCAGTAGATTCATACCTTGGAGAGGAATTGGGATGGTACAACAGGTGTTGTAGAGTTCAAGAAACTTTCGAGATTGGACGATTGCATTGATCAATTCTTCCTCACAGAGAAAAGAAATGAAAAGGAAAGGATTTTTATATTGAGGTAAAACCTGAAGAACAAGAGAGATCACCGAGATTTTCGCCTGATTTACAGAAAGAAATCAGTATTTGTGTAAGAATTTATTGAATTAGGTTTTACGATATGGATTTCGATAAGGAAATACGAAAATGAAACGATTTATCTCCATAAATTTCGCAAGGATAAGTTGAAATAGGAAAGTAGAATAAACAGGGGAATGTTGTCAATCAATCCAACGCCGGTCGCCGGGAACAAAAGATTCCGGCGAGAGAATGGAAGGAAAGAACGAAAGCCAAAACTGAAAGTAGAGTAAATTGAAGATTGAGAAGATGCGTATTTGATGAGGGAAAGTAAATGAGAAGCAGAAGGGAAGAACAGAAGATGTTCGAATTTATGGATGGATGTGAGTCACAGAGCGGTCCAATGTAGGAGAAGACTGATGTTTTGGTTTGTTTGTAGTTCCAGAGATAGATACACAGAGATAGATACAGAGAGATGGAGAGAGAGAGAGAGAGAGAGAGAGAGAGAGAGAGAGAGATTCACTTATTATGAGACTGTCCACATGTCTCCAATTTTAGCATTTCACATTCACACACCACCTATTATTGGAAGTTTTTTAATATTTTTTCCCATTAAAAAATATATATTTTTAATTTTAAATATTTTCAACTTATTTTCATTAAAAAATTAATTAATTTCAGTCATAACCATTTTTTTATAGGGTTTACAAAAAGAGTCATAAGTCTGTAGTAAGTAATTTCAGTCATAAGTCATAACCATTTAATTAATTTCAACCCGATTTGCAAATAAAAAATTAAGATTGCAAGACTACAGTCTTTGCAATTTTAATTTTTTCTTTGCAAATCTGGTTGAAAAATGTAAAAAAAAATGCAGACCTAGGTGATAAAGGTAAATTCTTTTCTATAGATCTGGTTGAAAAATGTAATTTTTTTTGCAGACCTAGGTGATAAATGTAAATTTTTTTGTAGATCTGAGTGAAAAATGTAATTTTTTGTTGTGCACAAGGATAAAAAGTATAAATTTTTTGGTCTTTTAATTGGGTTCGCGACTCCAGACATGAGTTTTTCTGAACCTTTGATTAATTTAATAAATTTGAAGAGAAAATGATTAGTGGTATATAACTAATCCCTAAAAATAACTATTTTAATAATTTTTTTTCGTTTTTATAACTTTTTTACCAAAATGAATTAAAAGTTGAAATCTCTAAAGAATTTACATTTACAAGTGATTTTTTATTATTTAGTATAATTTTTATTATTTCGATACAAAATTTTATTTTGAAATTTAGAGATGGTTATAAAATGCGGTCGAGAGTAAATTAAAGAACCGATTTAATCTACATGATTGATTATTTACACGGATGGTTGAAATTGGTTTGTAAGAATTACACGGTTTGTATTAGAAACTCTCTCTATAGTGGGTGTTTCATTTATTTACAAGCCATCTAACAAATAATACAAACCATAATCAATTTTTATATTACGAAACAAAGAGATATTTATGGACAATTACCATAATTCATCAATTATGATTGATATATATATATATATATATATATATATCTGTCTATCTATCTATATAGGGGCTGGTTCAAATACTAACCAAAACTATTGTGCAAACTATGTTAACCCGATCTTGATCATTCATTTTCTCATCAAACGGTTCTTATTAAATTAGACTATAAAAATAATCATTTAATTAATATATTAATTGAGATGCCTATGAACAACGGTTCAGATGGTACTTTTGTAAAAACATCGCATGAACACGACGAACATTTATATGAACACGGTGAATGTTCATAGACATTACATGGATATGAACACCGTGAACATCAGAATTACATCATGATCAATTAGAGGGATCTTAAAAGATTTGTAACTCCTAAATAATTATTAGGGAGTTACATAAAGGTCAAATTACAAAATGACTCTTGTATTCAATTTATAAGTTACATTTGAACATAAAGTAAAGAAAGAATGTGATTGATTGATGTTGGTTAGTAGAGTTAACACAAAAAAATGGGTTAGTATTTGAACCACCCTCTATATATATATGAGCTTAATCAAATAAAAACTGTTTTGTTTGTGGTAACCGTGAGATACAATCTCAATTAATCATTTTAATATATTAATTATTCTTTTTAAATTAATATAAAAGGGCATGTTAGTAAATTATTAAATTTAGATTAAATATTTATTTATTAATTATATACGTTTCAAACTTCCAATTAATTTTGATTTTACATACCTAAATTACCACATGAAACCACAATCTCTTGGGTAGCACATGAAACCACAATCTTTTTTACCACAATGTAACACAACGTCTTGTGTTACCTAATACACTATTAATATTGTAACATCTTGTCCCGCATGGGTTTGCTACCAAGGAATCCTCACCATGGGTTTACTGGTTTAGGTAACACATGAAACTCACAATCTTTTTTTTTACCACAATGTAACATAACATGTTCAACGAAAGCCTACAAATTTTTTTCCACCTCTTCTCGCACAACCAACAGGATCTTTTGTGTTTTTTGTTTTGATTTGCTGAAATGTAATTTTAGAAGATTAACGGATTTCTAGGGCGCTCAAAATAGTCTCATTACATTAAATTTTTTTGACCCTTTTGCCCTTATTTACATACTCATATTAAATATTGGAGAGTTATTTTTGGAATTTTTCTTTTATTTTCAACCATTGATTATTAATTTGTGTGGTTGAGATTGGATCTCACAGTTACTACAAACAACTCAGTTCTTTCTTAAATGGGCCCCTATATATGTTTATATGTATAGAGAGGGGGGGGGAGAGAGAGAGAGGGGGGGGGGGGGAGACAATCATTTGTTAACAAAAAAAAAGGTGTTAACTTTGTTAACTTGTATCGGCCAATCAAAATCCTTCCCTCTAGTTGGTTTTAGATGGCACACTTTTTACGAAGAAGGGATGGTTATGTACTTTTCATTTTTATAATTATTGTTTTTTTAATAAATGACGATTATACTTATCTTCCCTTGATTTAAGGTCAGTTAATTATAGATATTATATTTCAATTGATTTTTTATTTGAGAGTACCTTTCTCTGGTTAGTGGCAATGATGCTTTATTAAGAGGTTTTGTTCATCTGTGGAACACCTACATAGATGCTCATCCATAATATGTTCATCCACTCTGCTTTTTTTGTTCATAAGTGAATGTATCTAATGTTCATGGTGATGATGCTTTATTATGATGTTTTATTCATCTGTGAAGCACCTACACATATGCTCTTCCATAGTATGTTCGTCCACTATACTTTTCTATTCATAAGTGAAGGTTTTGATTAATGAACATAAGTGAAGGTGATGGTTTATGAACAAGTATGTACTATGACCTACTATTCATAATTGAAGGATCTATTATTCATAAGTGAATATTTAGATTATTGTAGGTCATAAGTGAAGGTGCTCATCCATAACCGTCTCTTACTTGGAAACATATATATTATAGGTGTTCATTTGTGAATGGATACATGTTAAAAAATCTTAGGACTGTTCTATAGCAAAAACAATGAGGTATGTTCATATGTGAAACACCTGCAGAGATACATCCGACAAACCCAAAACATTATATCATGAAAAATCATCACGGTAGCATGTCCATCCAAAATTTATTAGTGGCATGAAAATCGAGAAGCTTCCATAGCGATTTCAATTCAAGCGATTTCAAATCGTTTTTTAAACCGCCATATACTACTGTTTTACCAAAATACCTTTGTACACCTGTGATATTGAATACAGATGTGCATACCATTGACCCGATATTACAACATTGCCATTGAATAATCTAATATGTTGATTAGGGAATTGAATGGATGAGATTAGCTAACAAAGTTTACACTATTTTTTTGATCAACAAAAGAGGGGGACTATATATATACACTATATATGTATATACATATATATATATATATACATATATACATATATACATATATATACATATATATATACATATATACATATATATATATATATATATATATATATATATCGCCATAGGTTACTTTGAGAAGTGGTAAGTAAATAAGTGATCATAACCCTTCATACGGTCAAGATCGGATTTGAGTAGTTAAGAACTGCGGCTTTGATTGGTTAAAATTTGCGGTTATGCAAAAAATAAAGTGGTAGTTTTGTAACTTTTACAAATAGACGGCAAACGTATTCATATGTGAACCCGTGTAATTCACATATAAACTATTTTAACTTATTCACATATGAACCGTGTGATTCACTTATGGACTAATTAACTTATTCAAATATGAATCCTTGTGGTTCACATATAAACTAATTAACTGATTCGTGGGTTTATATATGAATCAGTTAGATAATTCACATGTGAACTAATTAACAGGTCTACATATGAACATAGAGTTCATATGTGAATCACACGGGTTCATATATGAACTTGTTTGTCGCTTATTTACCCCTCTATCTCTCACATACTCATTCGAGGAATCACGGTGCTTCACGGTCAAAGCCGCAAACGTTGACCAGATGAATGGCTAGGATCACTTCTTTACTTCTCAAATACTTACCACTTCTCAAATGAACCTCTCCCTGTATATATGTGTGTGGAAGATGATAAAGTTCTTTAATTATGATCATAGCTTTAGATTGAGAAATAAAATGAAATCAAATATTTATTAGACTCAAAGGACGGGTACGATTGGTTTGTGAATGAAACGTCCCATATATATATATATATGTGTATGTGTGTGTGTGTATAGGGTTCGGTTCACGTGAGATCAAAGGTTTTTCGTGAGACCCGTAAGACCAATTTATGTTCATTGATCAACTTTATAAGCTAATGATCTAATGGTCTAAAGTTGCACGATGACAATTTTGTGATTATTGAGAAGTCTTGTGGCGTTTATGAATGTTCAGATTGTAGATCTAATCCAAGGGTTGAGAATTGGTCTTACGAGTTTCACGAAAAACCCCTTAGTCTTAAATGATCCCAAGTCCATATATATATATATTGTTAGGACTGAAAAATCAGTATTAATTGTATTCGTCTTGAAAGATTAATTTTAGTCTATCATTGTAAAGTCAGCGTGTTTGACTTTCATAGACTAGTTTGACTTTGACTTTGTATTAATATGTTGACCATATAAATATGGTTTAATCTTTGTAATTAGARAGAGAGGAGCTTAATTGCAATATTCAGATTAAGAAGAGAGTTTGACTGAGCTTACATTCATTGACTTTCTCTCTCAAGTGTTCTTGATGTTCTTGGATGATTATCTTGAATCTGCCATTGAAGGAAGCTTAATATGAAGATTGATCAGATATTGTGGACACACAATTGGTATCAGAGCTGGAATGCAAGAAATCAGGAAAAGAAGTTGATCAGATAAGTTTTTTTTTTCTGAATTTTTCGTGTTCTTCGTGT